GTTTTTTATGCAAGGTCTCCATAATCGTAGTGGGACGTCACACAGGGATAAAATTCGTAATTTGTGGCAAGGCCTGATGATCATCAGTAAAATACTTGATCCAGTAAACCTTTACGAATAGTTTTTTCTAATAATGTTTATGTTAATGACGTCAATATTTTTAGCTATTTTCTTATATTTTCATCTTGATGATTTTTCTTCACCAACGAAGCCAACCATTACTCAGGCATTTTGGATAAAGTTCTGCTTATTGCACTTCTTAAAGTTCTAACGTTTCCTTCATTGCCGCCTTCTTCATTCAACTACCCTAGCTTAAATTATTACTTTCTTTCTACCGCTCTTCTCATCAATTTCCCAAACGCGACTTCTGAAAACTGCTTCGATATCTTTGATATCTGCTTAAAAGGATTCTTGGCCATTGATAAACGAAAAGACAGAAGATGCAGCTTATTCCACTTGGAAAACTACTTGATCGTGCCTTTGATATTTTGAAGAGGTCCGAACCACTGTTTACAGATTTTCTCCTATCTCTTTATGACTAGATTTTTTATTTCTACTTAGTTCCGAGTACATGTCATTGTTCTTTGAATATATAAGACTCTAAGTCGATTTATGCTATGTTTTTTCACTCTTACCTCATTCAACAGTATTTTTAAATAGAAGCTTTGAGGAACAAAATGGTTGTATGTGTGTATTTTTTATTTACCTTTGTCACTCCTACCATTGTCATTATTACTACCTTCTACTATCGCGACATTCAGATCCTTCATTACTATTATAACCATTGTCATTACCATCATTTTCATTTTCTTAGTTATCCCTAATCTTAATTTATTGCCTAACTAGTTCCCTATAATACACAATTAATCTCACCTATTCTCCGGCCAGGACTCTATTCTTGAATGTTCCCCTTTCGTTCTATTTTCACTTTCATCAGACCTCGTTCGGCCCACTTTGGTTCAGCCTTCAAAGTATTCCTGTGGACTAGACTCAGTTGTATCGACAACATTATGCACTACTACATCTGCCGACATTGGAGCACCATCAGATACCAATTCGATCGTTGCAAATGTCCATGAAACCAATTATGGTTATTTTTCTAGCGGAAGTGACCAAAATTCCAGTGCTAAGACTCGCACTACTAACGATGAGCCTGCCGAGCTTACCAGCTATCTGATCGTAACTCAGAAGTCAGCTCCATTCAACTCAACGTCTAGTAGTGCGTATCTGTCAGAGACCAATGATTTGCTTCTTGAACCATCTTTACGCCCGCCGAACGTCAATGCCCAGATGGCAACTGATAATGCGAACTTGTCGAATTTTGGGCCATGTGTGGATCGCACAAATTACCACTATCAATATCAGGCTGGAATCACGACAGAGTGTATGCGTCACTCACCTAAGACGCTGCTAGAATATCAGTGGCCTCAGCATCACCACTCAGCCCCGTTCAGCCGAAACGAGCAGCAATTATCTTCGCCATCCACACCAAAGCAGACAGCCTTATTCACTACCTCTCTTG